ATAAGGGCAAAATAGTTTCGAGGGGGTGGGGGGCAGAGGGAGGGGGAGGGGGTGGGGACAGGGGGAGAAATGACCCAAGCATTGTATGCACATATGAATAATTAATAAATAAATAAATAAATAAAAGAAAAGATGGGAGCTAACCCAGAAAGGCTTGTGTTGAGTGTTTTGTGAAAGTTTCATGTGCAACCAGTCTTGAAATCCGATGGTCCAAACTATCAACCCTACAAAGTGTCTTCTGTTCGTTGGGTTTCCTACAAGCTGGTCAGCAAGATGCTGAAGAAGTTGCACATGGAGACACCCGAGACCTTTGGAGTAAGTCTCATCAATGAGCTGGTGGAGGATTTTTGCAAGTGCACCAAGTGGTCTGGTCGGCAATCCTTTGTCTACATCTGTGACATTATCATTGAAAATGATTGCCTCCCAATGGACAATTTTGCTATCCATCTAATGCCACAACTGCTGACCTTGGTGAATGACAGTGTTCCAAATGTTAGAATGGCACTTGCAAAAACATTAACACAAACTCTCCTAGAAAAAGAATGTTTCTTAGCCTCTACCCGCTATCATCAAAATGCTGTAGAGCTTACCGTCATGATACTTCAGATGGACCAAGACCACAATGTCAAGTATTTTGCAAGCAAACATCCTGCCAGTACCAAAATCGCTGAAGATGCCATGAGCGTACCTTCCTTGACCTACTAGAACCTCAATGTCCTTCATTTTCCATGACAGCCAAGTTTCAACCTCCCCTTAAGTGTCTGGGACAACTATGGGTGGGAAGTAGAGACCTTTTACTAACTCCTTGCAGGTGCCAGTTGCCTACACCCAGTACAATTTTAAGAGTCAAGAGAAACTACAAGAGTCTTTATTCATGTTGTTAGACTTGTCATGGTACAAATTTTCCTATCTAAGTACAATTTATTAATAAAACAATTGGAGAGATGGATTATTTTCTAGATGTTTATTAATGTAATTTGTGAGTAAATACAATTTGTGACCTGTGTTAATGATTTAGTATAAATGGAGAAAGTAGATAAAAATATTCCTTTTAAAAAATAGAATTCAACATTATTACCATGCCTCCAAGAGTGATACTAGAAATAAAAAGGCTTTGAAAAACACATATCTTAGGAAAAGCTTTACATATCAATTACCCAGTATTTAAAAAGTAGAAAATCTCAACTAATGCCAGTTTGCATGTATAAAATCCAAGCAGAAACTAAAAGGTCCTAAATAGTCTCAGGTGGGAATATAGCAAAAGTCATCAGTTTAAGAATCATACAAATGCACTAACAGAGCTATGCAAGCAAAGCAACACATTTAGTTTATTTCTTGTTATTTTTTAAGCCCCTGTGCTTGTACACCTGTTTTCTGCAAAACCTCCCCAGTGAATGCTCATGATGTTCACTCAAGTACATGGTGTTTTCTGATCTAGAAGCTCCAGAACAACCATAGTCACACCAGTGTGTGCACACAGTCATACTAAATTATGACTTCTCACCTTAGTGAGCATTAGCCTGAATTTATACTTCAATTTTTCTTTCCACATAGGGGGATGATAATCCCAAAAGAAATGAAATGAGCCACCTTGGATACGCTGTGTTCCTGTCAGGGGAAGCAGGGAAGATCACATCTTCCCCACCCTCCAAGAGCCCATCCAGGAGGCTCAAGTGTCCCCTGACAAGCAAGACCTATTCATCATGAAGCCAGGACATTTAGTCAAAGGGAAACAGGAACAGTGTATCCTGTCCCCAACTCTTGAGTTCCTTCACTAAATTCACACCTGTATTTCTGACAAGAAACTCATGACAGAGCTAGTCTCCATGCTGTCAGAGAGGCTAAAGGCAAGATCTCAATATTCATCCAGAATCAGGTTTAGAGTAAACTCTAAAATCAGAAAAACACCTGACTTCCTTGTAGGAGGACATTTTTTCATTCCTCCAAGGAGATAGTTGCTTTCTTCTATGTATGCTCAGAGCACTGTAGACATATACTTATATATGAACACATCTCTGTTTATCATTACAATGAGGTTTCTTAAGGTCTGGGATTCCATGTCTTTCCCATCGCCACCATTTTTTTTTTCATTGTGCTCGGTGTGTGTGTGTCTATATTGTGGCATTTACAAAAGTTCTTACAATGCATCAAATACATCATATTTGGATTCACTTCTTTTTCATCAGTTCTTTCTCTGTCCCATGGTAAGCTTACTTTCAGGTCTTGACTAGACCTGGAGTGAAATATTCACAGTTGGAGTCTTTAATCTTCCTTCTTGCCTTTTTCTCTTCTGCCATTCTAGAATTTTCCCACTGATATTTCTTTCTATAATATGTGTGCCATTACCTTTGGATATAATTTGGCTCAAAGACTTTCTTATTTTGTTATTACTGGCAGTAATAATAAAATTTATATTCTATGTAAAATAAATAAATAAATAAATAAAAAAGAAAAGATGGGAGCTAACCCATGGGATATCTGTATATTGTTCATAAACAGGAATCTGTGCAACACCAAAGATGAATTACACATAGTGCTACGAGAGAAAAAGCAGCATTTACAAATTACCCACTAGTGCGAGTATGCCTAGAAATTATACTCACTTGCTTTATAATATGTCTAAAAAGAAGCAAAATCTCTGGTCCTAATACTCCAAATGAGGCCAGTTATCAGGACTTGCTCCAGTACTGGGCCTGTGGTGTTTGCCCCCCAACTCAAAGCATGACTGCAGACTACAGGGTCAAGACTTGACCAAGGGGGTTGTGCCAACTTGGGGGTCCTCAATGACCAAAAATCTATCTAGAAGATTAAAATCAGTACCAGTAACACCTGTGTACTGCTTAAGAAATAAAGAGGGTTTTAAAAAAATCAAAAAACATAAAACAACCTGGAATTAGGTCTGATGCTTGCTGTCTTAAAATTTCAGACTGACTGCATTGAAAGAAATCTGAAATACTTGGCTCAGAACAAAAATCATCCCTGATGTTGGCAGATGCTAAAAGATGCAATCTTGGCTTATACAGAGAGGAGGCAGGGCTGTGAAAGATAAGAGCTAATATCTGTCATTTTACCACTGATTCAAATCAATTTCTTCACAGAGGTATCAATTAGGATTAGGTTTGGCTGTGTATAACTCCTGCAATGCAAGGCTGGAAATAAGTGATAAGGCTGAAACAGAGCTCTGTATCCATCTGGCACCCAGGCTGCTTCTACCTTTCTGTTCTATGGTCTTACTATTGGCTTCCATCTTCAAGGTCACCTCATGGTCACAAAATGGCCTCCACAGCACCAGCCACCATATTCACATAATAGGTAATAAGAAGGACAATGGAACAAGGCAAATAGGCCTACAGCCCAGCTGCATCAGCCACTTCTAATGAGCTTTCCCAAGAGCCCCACTCAATAATCTCTGCCGAGCTCTCACAGGGCACTCCTACATACAAGGGCCACTGAGAAATGTTTCATATTGCTACCATTACCACCACTCCACCCAGACTTTAACCCTAATATAATCCCAATGTGTTTTGTCAGTCAGGAAAATAGGGACAAAGGCTTATTGGGGAGGCAGCTAGCAGCCACTGCTACACTGCAATTGAGACAGACTAGGTTAGGGACAGTCTGGGACTACTGCTCCCCATGTTGGCTCAAGGGCTCCTCCCCCTGGCTCACAGGTGTGAGGAGCCAGGTGATGATGTATTTTCTCCCCACCTCCAAGTTCAAGGTGGTATAACAACAACCTACCAAGAGACCCTGGCCCTTCTTTTTCCCAATCCTCACCTGGCAGGATGGCTGACTCCCCCTCCCTCAGTAAAGCTATCCTACCTCACCCCATCCACATGTTCTGCTTGGAGTCTTCCGTTTGGAGCACGAGGACCAAGATCTCCTGAGAACAACAATTGCCAGTAACACAATCAGTATGTTAAAACTGTAGGAGACAGAAAAATTTTCCAGGATTCAGTCTAGTCCATGCCGCTGGTTTTAAATGAGAAGAGTGAAGTTCAAAGTCACTAAAAGCCATGCAGCTAAGAAATGGTGACCAAGAAGCTTTGAATCTGATTCAGGAACTGGTGCCAGACTTTAGAACTGAAATTGCAGGGAATTCTGTCTGCACACGCACAGGGTTTAAAATAAACTTTCTATATTGACTTTTCTAGGAAAAAAAAAATGCTACAGCGTGGGGGAAAACTATCACACAGTCAGACCAATCTTAGAAGAGAACATGCAGGATATTTATGAAGTGTTGGGACTATTCACATGCCTCAGAAGTCCTGCCATCTTTTCTCTTTCAACAAAGTCTAAGATGATCACGAGTGGGGACCACATCTTTGTACAGCTCAGTGCCCCTTCTCTAGCATCAACAGTAGAGCTCAATAAAATGTACTCGTGATTTACACCAGACCTCAGCGAATACAGCCTCCTGTCAGTACCGATCCATGAAAGCCAATTCACAAAAGCCCAAATGTCTCTCAGGGACCTTTTAATGGGTTTTATGTCTTATTTATTGTGCTTATCTGACAACTTCACAGGACTAATGGACATCTCTGAAAATGTGTTGACATTTCAGTTCATTCTGAATGTCCTTCATTGTATTTTCAAATTTGGACAGTGCAAATATTCCCATAAGGGTAATAACATAAATACACATAGAAATACAAATGTGCTTGCCAGTCTATATATTACATATACTATATACACGTATAGATATTCCCCACT